GAGTGGCAGAGGAGGAGCCGCGGAGAAGCTGCGGAGGATGAGCGAAGGAGGTGGAGCTGGGGCAAGGAAAAGTTGCGGAGGAGGTGAGGAGGATGCGCGGAGGAGGAGAGGGGCGGAGTTATTGCGGATGAGCGGAGGAGCGGCGGAGGAGCAGGGGAGGAGCAGGGTAGTAGGAGGAAAGGTGGGGGCTCGTGCAGTTGGTGGCGTAGACCAAGTGGAGGAGGGGGGGCGGGAGTGATGGCCCTAACCTTGCAGTGGCGGTCAAACACAGTCCTGAGATCAAGCAGCTCATGGCTATTTCCCATCGCGCGCGCGCGCGCGCGCGAGAGAGAGAGAGAGAGAGAGAGAGTTGTCGTGTTTGCTATACGCAACTCCACAAAAAAGCACGACTGAGCCAGACTGTTTCGTCGCACTTTCACCGGCCCATCAGGAGGTTGAACCCCGACATTCTTCCCAGGGGAAAGTGGTCGACTGTCAGTGTGTGTGGTACTATGCTCGGCATACAACCCCACAAACATTGAGCTCGGACACTGTATGTGTGTGTGTGTGTGTGTGTGTGTTGTCATGTTCGCTTCCGCCTGACTGTACCGAAGTGTTTCATCTGACTTCCACCAAATCGTCAGGAGGTTGAAGCCCAACAGTGTGTGCGTGTGTGTGCGTGTGTGTGTTTGTGAGAGAAACACAGAGTCAAGTGTGGCGGAGGGCCATCCATGACACGGCGCAGGCAGTTCCCAACACAACGACAACAGCTCATAAACCCTTCGTAAAAACACAGCGCGCATTGAAATGGCCCGTTGCAACGTACAAGGACGGCGTGAACTCCCCAAAGTTGCCTGCTATCTCGGGCGTTGGGCCTGAGGTACCAAACCGACGGCCTGCATTTAGGCACAGTCCTCAAATCTTAAGACCACGTCGATCCAGGCCATCGGTCCGGTAGCACCCGACAGCCCAGATCGCAGATTTGTTCCATTTCTTCAACAATCTGGGCCATCGGTCTAGTAGGACCACGACGGCCCGGATTTCAAATTGTGACACTAGCAATTTTAATAGTGTGGGGACAAAGATGACTGTGACTGCCATTTGCAAGCACGTTAGGGTGTGTAGAGGGCGACGGGGGAGCCGACTTTTTCCACTGCAGCTGCTGTTGCTGTGGGAACAGTGCTAACATGCAACAGTTGCCTTCCATTTCGGAAATAATTGAAGAGTTCTACCCAAACTGCATCATTCGGTGCAGTATTCTTGACTGGTACATGTATGCCAAAGGTATAGTCAGTTGCAGCACTATCTCTAGTTGAAAGCGCTTCTTTCTGTACCCCAGAAGCCAGGGGCAAATTTTGCCAGGATGGCATTTTGACAGAATGGTGGAAGTAAACGTATGTCACAAGGATATGGGGGAAACTTCGCTGCTGCTTTATTCCCGCTAAGGGCCTTGTTCAACACCACTTGGAACTCGAGGATTGAAGAAAAATTCTTCGTTCCCCCCCTCCCTAACGACACCGCCGTAATGTTCTCACTTTCCTGCTCTCAAATGCGCATCCTTGAAACTCAAGTGCAGCTGTCGCCAAATCCCACTTGAACTCAAGGTACCTCCCCCTTGAGTTCGAGTGCAAACGGATACCGCAGAGCGCTGCAGAGCGCTTTGAGTGAGGCTTTTTTCTGTTTTTCTTTTTTTCCAGTGGGCATCTTGGTCTAGGATTGGTCAAGCCGTGGACTCGGTTTCAAGTGCAGCTCTTGTTCAGGGGTTTCCTCAAGTGTACGAGCAATCATAAATGGAGTTAGTGTAAATTAATCTCAATTTCTTATTTAGGGCGCCCTTGAAACTCCCAAGTATATTCAAGTGGTGTCGAACGAGGCCCTACGAGAGCAATGACCTTGGCAGTCCTTGCAGTCTTCATGACTAGACTTCCATTTTCAAAGCACAAATATGGCACGCGGGGGCAGGCAAACCACTACATACGCTAATCATGATGTACGTGGAAATAACAATCATATCCTCGGCTCGACTGAAACGTTTCCTCTGAAATTTCAAAGAAAAGGTCCACTTTCAAAGCATAAACATGCCACCGGCGGGCAAGCAACCACTACGCATGGTAATCACGATGTAGGCCTGTTTTGATTTAAAAAAAAAAAAAAAAAAAAAAAAAAGAATCATATCGTCGGCTGGACGGAAGTGTTTCCGTGAAATGTCAAAGAAAAGGTCAGTCTTGAGAAAACGTCGGCCAAGACGGTGTAAGCGACAGTGACATGATGTAGCCGCATGCCTCATCAACATGTATACCCATGATCTGACCAGCGGTGATAGTCATCATGGAGAGAACATGGACATCGATACCCCTCTCAAAAACTTGGGACGACCGACATGGCGGTCATGGACTGACGACCCTCTCTCACTTTAGGCATTTCTATAGCGCAGGTATTTGTATAGCATCCTGTTGGGATCGCACTTCTTTTCGTGTACTTTCAACCTGGTGAGGAGATACAGTGGAGTATGTTTCCCTACTTCGCGAGAATCATCAGTAACAAAATTTTAACTTCGTGCTCTACTCTACATACACAAAAGACAAAAAAATATGGCGGTGTATGTATTATCTTTCCACGCTCTAGTGGAAGATTCATTCCCATCTTGCACACTTGGAGAATAGTGCAGCCAGGCCCATTATCTCCATTACCGCTTCCCTTCCAGGCAAGGTTCCACCAATGCACACACCATTTCGTGGTCGCAATCCAACTCTCATTGAGACATTGCACCCTCCTGATATTTCTGTCATAGATAAGACCCACACATAGTCTTGGAGTCCTTGGAGTCCGCAGTTTCACCCAGCACCAGAGAGTCTAAAAATAGTAACATTGCAGCCAGCACAACAGTCTAAAAATAGTAACATTGCAGGCCGCCATGTTTTTCCTCCGTTCCTTAAACTTCCTTTCTTCCTCAACTGTCAGATTAAAAGGAAAACGAGAAAGAACCGAGGCCACTGGAGCGCAAGCCCTCACAATCTTGCCCCCCCCCCCCTCCTCTGTAACAATTTTCTGCAACTGCGGGGAGGCTGCACATACCTTTACACACAATGGCCTGCCATGGTACCAGATCCCACCAGGTGGGGAAAAAAATAGCCGGGAGCCCGGGCGGGGTGTACAGTTAGCCTTAGAAACAGTCCGCCTATCAAGATACCAACCAGGTGGTTGTGCAGCGAAAGTGCAGGTCAAGCAGCAAGCCGAGGGGCGCTCGCGGTTTCAAAAAGAGATGGTACAAATATGCGCTGAGAGGACCATCTATGCACAGAAAAAAAGAGCTGATAAGTGTGTCCCAGCGGAGACCCTCTTGGTCATCACCTTCGTCCAGTCTAGCAGAGTGCAACGATCTCTTCGACTGTAATCTCCAACTCGGACTGAGCACAAGGAGACATCGATGGATGGTAATGCTTGCTTTCTCGAGTCCGTCTGTTTCTCAATAAACACCCCGATTGATGATTGCAACAAGGGGGGGGGGGGGGGGGGNGGGGGGCACAGGCTACGCCATTGGCCGATTACTGCCCTCAATGCTTGCTTTAAACCGCCACGACCTCTCCCAGGAAACCTTGAAAATTGGAAATGCAACAATAACCCCTGTTCTACGGACGAATAGTGCCACCGGCCGAAAATGGTGGGCAGCGGCAGCAGCACCACCAGCCAAAAGAAGCACCATAAGCCAGGGCACTTCTTTTTTTTCACGCACAGGGGGACTCCACGTCAGCAACAAACGGCTTGGATGTAGTGGTGGTTACCTTTACCCGGCCTGAGTCAAAACTCCAACCATCAGAAGAAACTCTTTTTTTTTTTTTTTTTTTTTTTTTTATACACAAAAAAACAAGCTCCATCTATTGGTGGGGAGCAGGCCCATCAGAAGATACTCATGATGCCACTGATCCAGTTTGCACTGCACAACCCGAGGCCACCCCATCCCTTGATGACTATGAACAAACATTGCATCAAGGATGGGACAAATACTCGACAGGTCGCCAACGCCTCCACTCCGCACGCAAAGGACGTCCCTTTACAAATCGCCACATAGCTGAGCCACGTGGTAAGCCCTCGATAAAAAGAGAGCTGACAGTTGAGAGCCAGTAGAAGACCACCTCCTCCTCCACCTCCTCCTCCACCTCCTCCTCCACCCCTTGAATACTCTGCCCCGAGCATTGCAATCAAAGGTGGGTGAGATGTTTATTGAATTCCTTTTTTCGCATATCAACAAGGTCTATACCACTGCTAACGCAAAAAGAACACGCTCTTGACAAATCACCGCATAACTACCCTCATGGGAAGCGGCGATTGGACAAAAAATAGGTAAAAATAGAGAGCATCTGAAACACCAATTTCGTTTCTTCCAACAACGACGCTTGCTTGCTTGATGCCTGCCTTCTACGCACAAACCCTCGTGCACAGTTAACACCAAATCACACTGCTCATAGTCTTTGCATAATATCCAAACCGCAACAAACCTGCAGCAACCATCATTTCTCTTTAAGGGATCAGACATAGCTACATACTACCGCACCACCACCATCATAAGACGTGACACGCTCACCCCTGAGCCGCATCTCCGCACGCACTATCTCCATCCCATCCTCCATGTCAGCACTTCTGCTTATACAAGGGCATTATGACAGAGTTGCCTGCAACAACTGCAGCCATACGTTCTCTCGCCGACTTCCCAGTCCCTTCAGAACTGCGCACTCATTACCATTGTCAACGCTTCGCGGTCCTCCTAAGAGCTATCATGCAGCACACAGCAAATTGGCAAACCTGTGTCATTATCCCCTGTGCCACAGTGTTGTTCCTTCCTCCGTGTTGATCACGTGTGCACGTCCAACCTTCTGCAATGCCACGAGCATTCACAGATTGCCAGATAACCATATACCATCCTCTGCTTGATGATGACCAGCGACAGCCATCAGACGGACGGAGTGAAGCTGCTTCTTCGTGCTTCAAAGATCCCTCCCGGCTTGTTGATTGCCCTCCATCCGCAGAAGACACTTCCTGCACAAGTCGCAACGTGAGACAGACGAGAGTATTGGATACCTTCAGACAGACGAGAGTATTGATTGGATACCTTCAATTCCACGTCGGTCATATCGCAAATTCCGGCTACCGCAGCGAGATGTCAACTCCTGCTGCAGCACATCCTTCCGTCAACTCCATGTGCTGCAGCAGCGAGATGTCAACTCCTGCTGCAGCACATGGAGCGTTATCACCACTCGAAGCTCTGGCGGCAAGAATACAGCTCCCGGGGCCAGAAGGAAGGAAGGAAGGAAGGATCACAAACATGCAAAACACCGACTCCCTTCGAATGGGCATACATACCGGACGGCAACAATTAGTAGGCATACCGTAAAGCCCTCCCAGGTTCATAGGCCCCCCTTCTCCCAGGGAAAAAAAAAAATAAAAATAAAAAAATGGGAGTGCCGATGCTTACGCTAACCACTGTATGTAACCCCCAAAGAAGGAGAGAGAATCACCTACAGACATCACTGACCAGTTTCAGGCCACGTTGGATACACGCTTGTGGCCTTCTTGCAGCAGGCGATTGCCCGGCCTCACCTGCGCCCATCCAGAATGTGTGTGCGGCACAAATCGTCTCTCGGGATCCATATTATTATTATGATGCCATTTGTTTGTAGCAGAGAGAATGATATGATCGCAATGACAAGGGCAATCCATGTCCCCTCCCTTCAGGAAGTCCGCTTTATGCCATGCATGCTACAGCAAGCCAACCGTCATACTCGACTAACAGCGATTTCGTCAAAACGGATGGACATTTTATACTTTTGAACGACATTGGAATCTCTTTTTTTTTTGGCAAAATTTTCATGAAATTGAGGCTACGCACACGGAAGGACAAAACGAGAACTAAGAGACAAACAGCTGTTACATAAGCCCCATGGGTACTTCCCTAAGCCCACGAACGATACAGTTCCCTCGCCAACGCAACCTCGTCACACGTCCACAACTCAACAGAAACTCGCTGCCTCGTTCAGATTCAGAACCTCGTCCACCTAACCCTCGATGTTTGGACAGCACGGAAGGACCTTCATGCGCATACATCTCAGTGTTTGGACCTGCGTTCAGCAATTTTCGGACCAACAGTCAGCAATTCTTGGACCCCCGTTCAGATTCAGCACCTGGTCCACCTAAGGACCTTCATGCGCATAAATCTCAGTGTTTGGACCAGCGTTCCGCAATTTTTGGACCAACGGTCAGCAATTCTTCGACCCCGTTCAGATTCAGAACCTGGTCCACCTAACCCTCAATGTTTGGACAGACGTTGAGATTCAAAAGCTGATAACCGTCTTTCCAAACGTAGTTCTGAATCGCCCGCACTCTCCACCACACGAACGCCACAAAGGCAACACCGACGACATGACACCTTGAGGTTAACACAGAGCACATCCATCCTCGTTACAACTAACTCTATTTATTGTCAACGACTTCTCGGAAGACGAAAAGAAGAAAGAAGAATGGTTTGATGAGCGCGTGCACCAGGCATGACAAAAAGCAATAAGCACTCATGGGCAAAGTGAGAGGTGGATGTTGCAAATGCTGCTGCTGGACAGGGTGATGGCCCATTGTCTACATACACGGAAGACAGGAGAACAACGAGGCAACGGTAAGATGGGAGCCCGATCCTCATCAAAGAAAGAAGAGACAGAAACAAACAGGAAGCAAGGCCAGGCATGTTCTTTCTACGCATCCACGGGTTCGTCACAAGTGGCGACTGTTTGCCTTGCGAATCTGGAAAAAAGGCGGAGAAACAGAACAGGCTAAGTAAGTAGAGAAGACTGGTCAATATCGCTTGATGCACAGGTCAGATCAGTAGGAAATGTACCTCACACTCCAGCAGTGAAAAGAAGGATGATAACGAAGAAGTGCCAGCGGGGTTCTACACAGGTTGTAAAGACATATCGGCACACTCACTAACGTACACCTTTTTTCGGTCTGCTGTTCATATACCTCAAGCCCAAAGGCTGAAAGATAATAAACCCACGTACGACAAGGACATGATGAAACAACAGACCCACAGAGTTCCAAGCCCAGCAAACGGATGGCTGCTCCTTAGGTCTAATCCAACTCTCCTTAACGAGAGAGAGAGGTGATGCAGACCCACCGACGCCTCCTGCTTCACCCTTCGCACGTGCATGTTTCCCATCTATCTATCTATCTAACTAGCAGCTCCTTCCATCTGATCCACCCTCCCCCCAACGAGACAGGTGATGCAGAGCCACTGGCGCCTCCCGCTTCAACCTCCACACGTGCATATTCCCCATCCGTCTGTCTGTCTATTACTCCATCTGTGTCTGTCTGCCTGTCTGCCAGTCTGTCTAATCTATCACGTACGATCGCAGGAGGGATGCTGCTTGCACTATTGCAGGCCCACACCAAAAAAGTTCCCCTCAAGGGTTTTGTAAAGGAGAGATGGAAAAGTACACACGCAAAGTTCTGGAGCGTCACATTCTCGCACTTCCTGCTGTAAGGCACTCCCTTCCTCAATTCTACATCACAAGTGGTGCAATCGCCCTACATAGGACTGGATTGTCGTGTGTCTGCCGAGAAATGCGGGTGAATTCACTTGACAATTGCCGTTGCACTGTAGGCATGACCTACATCGATATCACAAGGCCAACATCGATATCACAAGGCCACAAAGAAGGAATTGCCGCGCACATATCCATGGAGAAATTGGCAGGAGCAGGGAGCGGCACGCATCATCATCATCAAAGACCATTGGCGGCGATGCCCAGCAGACTGGTAACACAAGACTTGTGTAATCACCTGCTGCATTCGAAAGGGAAAAGAGCCACACGTGGTTAACCAGGGGTGTTATTTTCGACGAATTTTGCACCGAATTGCACTGACACTGTCATATTTGTGCTGATTTTTTGCTTTTTTTCTTGTTTTTCTTTTTGTGTGATATATATGTGCTTTAGGAAGTTTAGGGTACGTCATGTGTGCAGTTTTGACATGTTTGGATCAATAATGAAAAAGTTGGCATTTTGTTGAATTCGTTGGACGCTTCATTTTGACTCGGACAGCGTCTTTGTGTTAGGGTTTCATAGTGTTTTTTTGTTTTTTTTTTCGTTTTTTGGCCTGTTTCCTTTTTTGATGTTTGCACTATGGTCTCATATCGTTTGTTTTTAAAAATTTTGATGAAATTCGCACCGCAATTGCCAACGAAAACGGCGAATATTTGGGACCCCCCGTTAACCGTCTCTCAAAAGAGCAGCCCTCCCCTCTTCCGAGCAACTGTCGGTTGTCCCAGGGACATCTCTGGCCCCCTTCCGAGCAACTGTCGGTTGTCCCAGGGACATCTCTGGATGTATGCGCGTCATCCTTGAATGTGCAGGGGCCATTTGCTAATCACCCTTCTCTGTATCGTTCCAAATTCACCGGATGTCCCGAAGAACAATCCCTTAGGACATCCCCTCAGCAGTCAGGCAAAATCCCTTCTAGGACAAACAATCCCTCAGGACGTCTGTCACTGCAATATATTCGAAACTTTTCAAAAGCGAGGAGCACATCCATCCTCGTTACAACCATTGCCATTCACTTTCTGGAAGACAAAAAAAAACATAGTGATTCAATAAGTGCGTGAATCACGTTCTCTCACCCGTAACGAACTCGGGCGTAAAGGGTTCACTCACACAGGAGAGAGCGTAGATCTATATGTAAGCGCTATTTTGTCTTGAGAAATTTGCCAAATAAATAAAAGCATAAAGTGTAGCCACTTTCTATCACACACCATACATATACTAAGTAGCAGCCTTCCAGCTCATTTAATTATAGTAAATAAAAGTAGGCATAAAGGGATTTAAATTTTAAACTTTTAAAGTTTGAATCCCTTGTTCTTGTAGGTCGGAACTTGTATGCTCTTAAAAAAAAAAAAAAAAAAAAAATTTTATAGTTTTTTCCACTGAGATATCAGGCTAATCCGTTTTTTTAAAAAATTGAAAAAAAACAAAATTTTTTTTTTTTTTTTTTTTTTTTTTTTTTGTTGTGCAGCTGAACCTACTCGAGAGAATGAAATGCCCACATTAATTGTAGTGCGAACTCCTGCGTGAAATAACAAAGCTGCAGAGAGGAAAATTTCAGATGTGCCCCTCTCTCATAGAAGAACTTGGATTAATAGGAAGGAATGGTAACTGATTATTTGAATTTGGAAACACGCTATAAACAGAGAAATCGGAAGTAACATAACAAAACAAAACAAAGCAAAACAAAGCTCAGAAAACAGATGGTTAAAACCCGAGAAAAAGTACAGTGAACAATTTTTTGTTTTTTATTTTTTATTTTTTATATTTATTTTTTTATTTTTTATTCTTATTTTTTTGGGGGGGGGTACGATGATGCATGCACAACATGCACACGACACACAAAAATAAGAGAAAGGAAGAGAAAGATCCGGAACCATCGAAAGTGGAAAAGGGGTTAACAATACCTTTCTCGGCCTTGTGGCTAAGATCACGTGTAGTATCTGTTCTTATCAGTTTAAAATTTAAAATTAAAAAAAAAAAAAAAAAAAAAAAAAAAAAAAAACAGTGGTTAACAGGGGGTGTGATAATGGCACGACACGAAACCTTTTTCCAGCTCTCTGACCTTCGAGGTCTGTACTTCGTTCGTTCGGTTGTCTTATTTGCGCACTCTTCTTTCTCTCAATCAGGCAGCGCGGTCCCCCTCTCCAGATTGTTCTTGATCTCCACCGTATATTTGCCAAACGCCCTCTCGATCTTGCGGTTGAAATGGGCGTTCCTCTCATTGATGTAATCGATGTCCTTCTCCTCATAGAATTTCCTCCTCCGACTGAACGCCTTGCGCTTCGACACCCTCTTCCCCAGCTCCGCCACCATTCTGTCAACGTTCTCCGCCGGCACTTGCGCCGCCCCGAGGCCCACCCCGTGCACGACGACGCCATCGCCGAGAACCACCCTTCCAGCTCCATCATCCCCCCTCTCATCCCCTTCCAGCTCCGCTCCTTTCCTTTTCTGATAGTCTTCCACGGCCTCGGGAGGAACGTCCTTGGTGCGCTTGAGGTAGGCTTTATACAGAGTCCTCTGGTTGAACACATCTCCGCCAAAGGGTGCCGACTTCTTCTCCCATTTCTTGTACTTCTTCTCTGCTTCGTCTTGCGTGTCCAGCATGAATGCCTTGCTCATGTCCAGCCCGTTGGCCTCCAACTGTCTGCCCAGCTTCTTTTCCCGCTCTTCCAACCAGCGCGCCTTCGACATACCTCGGCTTTCCGGCGGCGCATCCTCCCGCTTTCTCTCCGCAACGACTGCGGACTGATTGGATTTGCGCGCCTGATTCAGCTTCAGTCGCAGCTCGAACAACTTCCGCCCGCGCTCGTCCAGCCCCGCCAGCGGATCCCCTCCGCCATCACCCTCCGCCGGGCCCACGTCGTCGTCGTCCCCGCCGTTGTCTCCCGCTCTTCCTCTTGCTCCCAGGCCTGCTCCCGAAGTCCCATCTTCTCTGTGCCGATGAGGCTGCTGCTGCTGCTGCTCCGCGCCGCCACCCCAAGAACCGCCGCTGGACACACGCGGCATTAGACCAGCGGCCTTCCCCTCACCCGCCGTCGTAGACGACGACGCTATCGAATCTCCCCTTTTGTTTCCCGCGACAAACGCGCCATCCCCGACCCTCCCCTCCTCCCCCTCCCTCCGCCGTTTCACAGACCTCACCCGCCCGAACGCGGCCGGAAGACTGTTCGCTCCCGCGCCCTTGCTGCCGCCGTCTTCCTCGCCTCCGCCAAGCGCCCCTCCCCCTTCCCCTCCTCTTGCCGCCAACAATGCCTGCTGTTGTTCCTCTCTCAGCGCGCGGCGCTCCGCGATCTTGCGCAGGCAGTAGTCTGAGCACTCGTGCACGGGGTTGCCAGCGTTGATGCAGTCCGGATGCGCGCGCGGGTTCAGCAAACCCGCCATCGCCGCCACCGCGTGCGCGGGCCTGCCCCCCCCTTTCTTGATCCTCCTCCTCTCCCTCAACTCAGTTCTCCTAGCTTCTCACCAACTCCCCAAAGCACTAAATTAAACTGCACGCCAGATACACACGAAACAAGTGGTCGAGCTTCTCAAAAAAAAA